AATTGAATCAATTGGGTAGTCAAGTTCTCAGGCTTATGCAACTTCATTTTTGCCTAGTTGTCAACTTGTCATAAAAACTAAGTTTCACTTATTATTAGACCGATAAATTTAAAAAAACTCAATACACAACATTTCTTAACTTGTGAAAGGTCACGTAATGATCTTTTAAACTTCTTTTGGTATCAAACTTCTCCTTGCACAGAACACATTCTTGCGGTTCTTCTGGTTTCTTAACGTAAGTTTTCTTTTCAGTTTGATGAAGGTTGTGACACCGTTCGCACAATTCCCTTTTACAGTACATGCAGTCGTCTTCCGCCGGGCACATTTCCTTAGAAAACAACCATGTGTGACAGTGCATAAAACTGCACAACTCGCACTTCATATTGGTGTGCATTTTAAAATGTGCCGCTTTGTAAAACTCCTTTTTGCAGGTGTTGCATTGATAAAAACTGTTAGAAGTCACTTGATTGGCTACATAGGTAACAGAGAAACGTCTGTGAACAAATTGGTGTTTTAAAAGCTCGATCCTCTTCAGAAAGGATTTATCACAAATAACACATTTGTGGGAAGCATCATCTTTCGTAAATAAGTTTGTTTTACGAACCTGAGACTTGTTATCGCTTGGTTTAGGACTGGGAATTGATTCGGCATGATTGCTGGAGACGGAGTAGGATGAAACGAAAGGTTTATTCGGATGAGTACGTTGAAAGTGAGCTTTCAGTACTCCCATAAGACTAAATTGACGTTGACAAAGGTTGCATGTAAAGGGCTTTTCTTGAGGTTTTTCATCAGTAAAAGGAACAGCAGAAATTTCCAAAGCTATTCCTAGGCTAAGAGGCATGGTTGATTCAAACACAAAACAAAAGCTTTTCTAAACATAAAAATAAACATTAAGTTGCGTGCGAAATTTATGTCCATACAAAGGCGACAAGATTCATTGCAAGATTTTTACGACTCAATATTTTTTTTTTTTTTTTGGCGTTAGTAGCCAGGAGATAACATTTCACTTGGGGTTATTTTTCACTGCAGTTATTTTGTTAGGCATAATTATATTCCACCAATCAATCAATTTCTCGAATTCGAAAAACTCGCACATGTGAAGTTGCGAGCTTATATATTTCCCCAATAGGATGGAAGTCGCATACGGGAACCATGATGAAGTGGATGATTTAAATGCACGCATCTGAGAAAGTTGGATACAGGACCATTCTCCCTAGATACTATTTCTTTTGCGAATAGGAATCAAATAGATGGAAAAATTTAACCCGAGAAAAGCTAGCCAGTGAAGTTCCCTGTCTCATACGAAAAAAATTGCGTTCAGCGCGAATGCCCTTGCGATGGGACAATGGTTAGCGCCATTCTCACTGTCTATGCTTGGCAATGCGAGAGTAGTTAATCATACATGCAGCTTATTAACATTTGCAAGCAAGTCAAGGGAATTTGGATGAAGTGTGCTTGGTCCATTAATGCAACTTTAGCCATTAACAAGTGTTCAAATCTGTGCAAACAACAAGAGGATCTATTATCAATTATCACTGTTTCCAATTCTTACAAGCGCATGTGATGGCATGTGCGGCTCGGAAGCATCGAAGGACCATTCTCATTGCGCGCGATTCATGCATCTCACTTAGTCGTTGAGGAAGAAGGATAACTTGATTGGTGAAAAATATATTTAACTGAAACTAACTGACTAATCAGGTTCTCTTTTTCTTTCGAGTGCTATTGATGCACGCGTAAAAAAATATTGAACTAAAAATGTACCAATATCTGACTATTATAAATTATCATGCCTAATTTCAAATTAAGTACTAATTAAAGCAAGATTAAGATCATAAAAATGAATCGGTTGCAATCAATCCCAAGCTAATCAAATTTATAAATCTCAAATGAAGGCGAGAAAGTTCGAAATTTACCTGGTTAGTAGGGAGATTTATTTCCCAATGAAATATAAAGCACTTTTTAAAGTTTGAATTATATTATTTGAGCTAAAAAAATTATTTTTCCACCAAAACAGTTAGCTATCAAACTCATAAAAGTACGAAAACTGCTTTGACGACAAGTAATTTTGCTGGATTAATATAACCTTATTTAAGCTTAGAAATAGACAACAAAAAATTTTAAAAAATCAAAACGCGAACTTATTAGTGTTCATAGCCTAAAAAATTTCTAAAACGTAATTGTTATGTCATGTAATAAATATAGAAATTTATTATTACAAAAGGAAAATTTTTTTTCTTTCAAAATTAAAAATAAGAAATATTCAAAATCAAAATGTATTTTGTAATTCCTTAGATATTAAGGAAGGATGGTTGCAAATGATTCCTTTTAACCCCTAACATTGATGGCGGTACTATTTTTGACAGATTTGTCAGACGTTAAAAAATGAAGCATAACTCAATGTCTTATAACTCAAAGGGTATTGACAAAATTTTTCTGGATAAAATAGAAATCTAATTTTACTACGAAATTGCAACAACGGAACTATTTCTTTAACTGAACATCTTTGATCTGTTTTTATTGTTGTATTCAATCTTTTTCTACAATAAATTACATTTCTTTGAAGCCTTGACGTGAGTGGCAAAAAAATCCCTCTGTGGAGGAACGTTTCTTAACTCTCTCTAAAATGATTTTATTAAAATCGGAGTAAAATCTATGCAATATATTCAGAAGAAGCATGATGGCTCAGGGGACAGAGCGCTCGCCTTCGAATGAGATGAACTGGGTTCGAATCCCAATCGATACGAATTCCGCATCCTGCTTGCACTGACCACAGTGCTGAAATGAAATATCCTCAGCTTTAGACGGATCATGGGTTAGAGTCTCTTTGCCGTTAGCCTAAGAGTGAGAGGTTCCCGAGATGCTTTCCTCCTTATGTAACGCATATGTGGTTCAGTTCCATCAAAAAGTACTCAACGATAGTATGGGATACACTGCCTAAATCGGACGCCTGGATGAGCTAAACCATGTAACACTTCAAAGATACGCTTGCGAAAATCGGTGGGTATATAAGGGCAAATTCGACTAGTGAGGACTTCACAGTATAGCGTAACGGATGGTACCAACTCCATTGGTTGAAGACAAAGTGAAGTTTCAGATGCTGAGAGGTTCTGTAGCTGGGGGGGGGNGGGGGGGGGTCATGTTTCAGAGCTTCAGCTACCTGTGTGAGGTCAACAGGAGAGTCAATGCTTGCAATCCTTGACAAGGAATCTGCAACAGCGTTATCAGCACCGGCAACATGGCGGATGCCTGTAGAATATTGTGTTATAAAATCTAGATGCCTGAGCTGGCGAGGTGAGCAAGAGTCTGATTTTTTTGAAAATGCATATATGAGTGTTCGGTGATCAGTATGTATGGTAAAGGATAGCCCTTCAAGGGAATATCTAAAATGCTTTATAGCAGCATTTATAGCGAGCAGCTCCCTATCGTAAGTGCTGTACTTAGATTCAGCAGGAGATAGTTTCCGCGAGAAAAAAACTAGAGGTTTTGGACCCTGATCCGACATGGAATTTGAAGCGGCTCCTAAAGCGACTGTGGAAGCGTCGACCATGAGCATAATTTCTTTGTTGGGTTCATGAAAAGTCACAGTTGTAGCAACGCAAAGGTCAGTCTTGCATTTTTCAAAGGCGGAGATTAAAACTTCCATCCACACCACAGGACGTTTGTCATTTTTCTTTGAGTCTTTGAGGAGCTCGTTTAAAGGGGCTTGAGTTTCTGCAGCCTTTGGCAAGAAGCGCCTGTAAAAATTCATCATAGCTAAAAAGCGTCTCATTTCTGAAATATTTTCGGGTTTTGGGAAATTTTTTGATGCCGCGACCTTATCAGGTGATGGCCTGACGCCTTCTGGGTTAATGAGACAGCCCAGGAATTTAACGGATTGCTTACCTAAGACGCATTTATCTGTCTTTAATTTTAGACCGTATTCCTTCAAACGGGAGAAGATCTGATGTAAGTGATCAATATGCTCAGATTCAGATGATGATGCTATTAAAATGTCGTCAAAATAGGGAATGCAGAATTCAAGGTAAGCTAGAACTTGGTGACTATATCTTTGGAACGTTTGTCCTGCATTTCTAACCCCGAAAGACATTGTCGTGTATTCAAACAGACCAAATGGGGGTAGTTATTGCAGTTTTCTGAATATCGGGGGAATAAACGGGGATCTGATGGTATGCCCGAGTGAGGTCAAGTGTAGAAAATATAACTTTATTGTGAAGATTCTGAGTACAATCTTGCATGTGGGGCAACGAGTAACGGTCTGATATCGTGTTAGCATTTAGCCGACGGTAGTCCCAACAAGGACGAATCTCCCCGTTATCTTTTCTTACGACATGTAGAGGGCTTGCCCAAGGAATCTTAGATGGACGAATAATTCCCTGGGACATGAGGAATTGGAATTCTTTCTTTACGGCTATAAGTAATGTTGGGGCGAGAGGCGAGACGACGCTGTTTTGAAAAAACAGGTGGGCCTTTTGTTTCTATGTGGTAGTAGATTTTATGTTGTTTATCGGTTTTAACAGGTTGAGAGGAATTAATTAGTTCGGGATACTGGCTTAAAATTTTGTCAAACTTAGAACTGCCTATGTGGATCGAAATATTTGATGCTACTATATCAATATTAGAGGATTTCGCACTAGATGAACAATTAGTGTTGGCATCAACGACTCTGTGGTTCTTGGCATAAACTAGTAAATTAAAGTGAGTGAGAAAGTCGATGCCAATTATAGGTTGCTTAACATCTGCAATCACAAATGACCACACAAATAGGCGCCGTAAATTTAAATTTAATTCTATACGTTCTGTGCCATAAGTTGTAATTTTTGTTCCATTGGCAGCATACAATGTTAAGGCTTGTGGGATTTTAAAATTCGGATCAAAAGTTCTTGGGAGGACGGATATGTCAGCGCCAGTATCAATAAGAAATGTTAATTTACATTTGTTATCGGCCACTAATACGCGATTTACCTGGCGGTCACCACTCTGTCCGGGATGTTGGCGCCCATTCAGTTTTCCGCCTCACGATACGTACAGGGGGACTTACATTTCTTTGCTTTCAGTCCAAAATCAACGTGGTAAAAACAAACACCATTTTTTGCCTCTTTGTATCGGGTACGTGAATTACTTCTGCCTCTACTTCTTCGAAAATAATTCTTCCTTCGGCGAGCACGATCTTGTTTTTGTATCATAGACGACAGCTCTTGGACCTGTTTGGTCAATTGGGCTATTTGTGTTTGCATCTCAACATATTGGGGATTATTGTTTGAAGCGAGGGCATGAACCATATTAACAGATGAATGAGGATTCAAATCATGAATTTTATCAGCAATGGTAGCTAGGTGAGTGAGATTTTCATTAATAGCTGCAAGTACCGATTGAGTTCCGGAAGGAAGTCTAGCTAACCAAAGTGATTTAATTAAGGGTTCACCGACTGATTCACCTCCTAAGGCAAGCATACGTAATAGCAATTGAGATGGTCGCTGATCACCAAGTTCTAACCCTTGAAATAAGGTTCGAATTCAACAGCGGCTATTACATGATTAAATTTTGTCTCGTCAGCTGTAATTTTTGCTAACGAGAATTGAGCTTCCAAGCGGAGAAACCACAATGAAGGGTTAGCTTTCCAAAATGGGGGTAATTTGACGCCAACGTGAGCGATTTGAGCTTCGCCAGTCATGATAATTACGCCTGAGATTAACTGCGATCGTGAAATGATTATAACATAAAACTATTCATTAAAAATAATACGAATTAAGAGTTTAGATCAATAAATAATGAAATTAACAATACATAACGTTACTGGCAATTAATCAATTTCATGAAATAATAAAGACGCTACCCTAACACTTCAAAATTAACATGATAATACAAGAGTATTGCGAGGAAAGGGAGGAAAGAAAATTACCCAGCTCAGTCAAGCATCTAAAATGATAAATGTATGCACAAATAACATCCAATTTTCGAAATCTCAATCGCGAGAAGAAATGTGTACAGGAAGATAGTTCTTTACACACGGGTCACCATTATGTGGGCCCCTCAGATGTCGGAGTCCACAATAAAAGGACGGTCGATTAAAAACTTTAACATCTATAATAGAAATTAAATTTTAATCTTGTTTAAAATACAAAAAAAAGTAAAAGGTTACATAGAAAAGTCGTTGAATACGCTTGTTAGCAGCAACGTGCTAACTCGTTGTTTTTAAAACATCAACAAGGTGTGTAGTGGAAGTTGTAGTTTTTTTATGTTCCCAAGACCATTAAAAAGTTGAAGTAACTATATTACTTCAATTCAGATTAGTTCACACTGTTGGAGAAGTTCACATTAATTCGTTTATGAGCGTTGTTGCATTTTAGGCAGTGTATCCCACAATTGCAAATTTCTCCCAATACTTGATCCAGGAGTTCTGTCTTCTAGATTGGGTACAAAATTACAAAGCTACGGAGCTGAACATTAGCAGTCGTAAATCCAAAAATTGGGTCGGCTGCTTACTGACGATTATAAAATATAAAATAAAATAAAACAATTAATCGGCTTAAGAGGTCACTACCCTCTCCCTATCAGATTTTAGGTTTAAATTTTTAATTTGTTTTTTTTTTCTCTTATTTTTTAATTTCTTTCTTTTATTTTTATTTGCTTATTTATATATTTATTATTAATTTTTTTTGGACTTGGCAATTTTTTTGAAGGCGTACTATTATTAGACAGGACAATACCGTTAAAGAAAAGAAACAATTAAAGGGATCACTTTATTACGTTAGAATAGATGAAATAGCTCTTGATAATTTCTAGAACTACTATAAATGTTTCCTCAAAATTTTAAAAAAGAATAAACTGACGCGATTTTGGGTTAGTAATTTAAAACAACACGCTTTTCAGTTTTTGGATTTGTGTGAAATCAAATTTTATTACTCTTCAAGCTGATAAAAATCGCTGAATAGTTTTTTTAAAGTTAATTGCAGAAAAACAAAGATATATTCAGAAAAACAAAAAAAAATCTAAGAACAGGCAGCAGTATTTAACTAACTATCAAAAACTGTTGATTTCAGAATTGCAGTTGCATATATTTGTCAGAAAAAATTAAAAGAGAATGAAAATATCTCACTCTTTCGATCTCAAATAGTGAGTCGACCTTATATTTTACATCTATCGAAGGGGGCACCTTTAGATAGATGACTGTAGACATCGTCGTTAGTCTGACCCCACAAATATCCCAGAAGAATCTCCGTGTAATAAATGGTACCATGTGTACGTTAAATCTATTGATCGTTCTCTGGTTCAGGTCAAAATTATGATCTGTGGATGAATAAATGCACGTATGAATGGATCCGCCTTTCAAAACAAGCTGTGGCTTGTGTGTGAGGCTGAAGTCACATTCTTGGCCATAGATGGCGCCATTGAAAAACAAGAAACTCTCCCTCTGGTTCAAATCGCTTGGCTCCACCAAGCAGGCTTGATGGTATTTGGCAAGCAGCATTAGAAACAACAACATCCGTCGAACGATTGATTGATGATATCGATCATCAGTTTATTTTAGAAAATAATTTAAGAAGTTTAAAAGCTTATTTAGAATTTTTACTCCCCGCCTCCACGCACTTGACAGTTGAGTTCGGTCCGGAGGGTAACGGCCTTTTTCCGGCTAAAACTGAACATACGTAAAATGCTTTGATTTTTAGAAGAAAAATAATAATAAACATGAAAAACGAAAAATTAAAAGTAAATAAATAAAAATAAACGAATAAAAAATAAATTTGAAAAAGAAAAAAATCTGCCGATATGATGCCCTTTTCCTGATAGGGCTCCCCTGACATGAACGCCAGTTGCCATACCCGAGATATCTACTGAATATATAATTATGGAATATAGCATAACATACAACAAGGTGGGTATGGGGAAGCGAGGGAAATTTGACGCTTTGTGACAAAGGGAATGAGGGAGCCAAAAATATTGAAAAAAGAGTAATATTATTTATTGGTAGTCCCTAACTTGAAATTGGAAAGCTATGTATTCATTGTTTAGTCCAAACCATGGAGCTGTAATGTAAGTAGAGCGAATGCTACATGGTGATTTTTGTCCCAATAATAAAACCATGTGAATGGTGGATGATTTGAGAAGAAAGAAATAATTCTACCTTCCATTACTACTTGTTATTTCAATGAAAGAAAATCGATGCACGGATTTTAACTTAAAAAAATTAAATTATGGTTGTTTACTTTCGCATTTGAATGTAAAAAAAAAAGACTCCATTAACTGAGCACTTAATGCATTTCATAGCTAAGTAATTTTATTACTGAAATTACTATATTTACTAGTGTATAATTTATTTTATGTATGAAATTTAAGCAAACGCTTATTGTCCTTAAAATATCGCACGAATCTCGACTATTGTATTTTATTCATCTAAAATCCAAATCTTATAAGTGAAAATAAACTTTTCAGAAGACTATTTAACCATAAAATAATGATTATATAAAATTTTCAATAATTAAAACATCATTTCCTTAAAATTTTAGTTCTAAAACGTATTAGGTAAGAGTACAGCAATAAATTCTGAATTGAAACAAATTGAGTTTAAAGAACGTGATGGAAAATCTTGGATAGGGTAAAAATTTGCCACTGGCTTTTGGTCAAAATATGCCTCTTTAAGTTTTTTATCAGTTTACTTATAAAGTAATAAAACATTTTAGCTCTCGTGGATTTGTGATACAACGAGCAAGATGACCGTCTCTTTACTGAAAGATCGAGGGTTTAAATCCTGGCTGAGACAGTTGACTTATATATAAATTTTTTTGGTCTAACAAAATTGATAGCTGGTTAGTATACTTTATTCAAAATATAAATTATTGTTTCTTAATTTAAATTCATTTTTTTTTTGCAAAATGTAAACTTTTGAAATCGAAAAAAAAAAGAGAATGATAGAGAGATTTTTATTTCTTTAGTTAAAATAGACGAATCAATAAAAAATTTATTTGTAATTTCGTAGTTTAAATTTCATTGACTTCAATTATTGAATTTATTCTATTTTGTACTAAATAATTTAAGTTTTTATTAAATTTTATTTAAAAAATGTAAACAAAATTGCATTATGATTCTTGTTAAAAATATGGAAGCAAGGGATTAATTGAAATCTAACTGGAAAAAAAAGAAGAAAAAAAAGAGTGGGTAATGGAAAATGCAAACTTTATTTTAATACACAATTTTTCTTTAACTAGAATTATAATGTAATTTTGTTTACATTTTCATAATTAAATTTGATAAAAACTTAAAGTAGTTATTACAAAATAAAAAAAAATAACCACAGAGTTAAATTTAAAAAAAAAAAATTCTAATATTTTTTTGATATGTATTTCTCAGTTAAAGAAAAAATATAATTAAACTTTCTAAATATTTTTTTTTTAAATTTTGCGCAGAGCAATTGTTTCAGCTGAGACTTGAACCCCCGATCCCTCATTTCCATAGTGCATGGCGACCGTTGTGCAATGCATCCACGTAATATAAAGAAATTTGTTATTTTTTGAGTAAATAAACTAAAACTTTAAAGGGGCACATTTTACCTGACGGGCTAGTGCAGCGGGTAAATAAAGTAACCATTATCTTTCATTTAAGTTTAATTTCGTTATAATTCAGAAATTTATGATTGAGATGTACAAGGTCAAAAAAAGAAAAAAAATGGAAAAATAAATAAATAAACGGATTACCTTGAATAGTTATTCAATTTTAATGGATTTTAATTAATGAATTCTAATTTTAATGGTTCGAGGGGGTGGCATCGAATGTGCTAATAAATTAGTGAACACGATATTTTTAGAAAAAGACTCTTTTAAAATTTGATTTTTCAGGAAATATTCGAATTATTTCGCTCAATATTTGTTTTTCGCCATGTAAAATTACATTCTTTGAAATGATGTAAAAAATTGTATGCCTTACAATTCATAATTTTTCGACTATTTTTAAATAAAATAATAAATATTTACTAATTTTTTTTTGCATGGAACTACCTTTGGACAAAAGAATTTTATAAAGGTGGGTAAAATTTTTTCTACTCGCTTAAAAAGTTCTTGAGATGTGATTAAATACGGAAAAAGTAAAAGTAACGCTATGGGGTCGAAACTATGGATCGCTTAGCTGACCAAACTATGGGGACCATATTCGCCAGATTGCGGCTTCTCTCCTTATCTAGGGAGTCAGAAAACCGATTCCGTTGAAAATAAGATATGTTTATTCGGAGAAAGTACGCTCTTGTGTCTGATTTTGTAACTTAAAATATCGTCAGCCACTAATTATTTAGCATATTTGAGGTTACCCCCCTCGAACCATTAAGANAAAAAAAGAAAAAAATTAGAAAAATAAATAAATAAACGGATTACCTTGAATAGTTATTCAATTTCGATGGATTTTAATTAATGGATTTTAATTTTAATGGTTCGGGAGGGTGACATCAAATGTGCTAATAAATTAG